GGTTTGCCGGGCAGCCTCCAGACCCTGCGCCCCCGGCTGGGCGCTTCCCCTCCCGGGCTCCAGCTGCGCTGGGCAAGCGCCGGCTGGGGGCGCAGGGTCTGGGGGCTGCCCGGCAAACCTTGAAGCCGGTAGCGCTGGGGCAGCCCTTTCCCCGTGGCTGGGAGTGGGAGGGAGGAGGGGGCGGAGTTAGGGCGGAGAAGGGGCGGAGTTGGGGCGGGGCTGGGGGTGGGGAAAGGGGCAGGGCCAGGGCCCGTGGAGGGTCCTCTTTTTTTATTTGCTGGATATGGTAACCCTAGCTAACATGACTGCCCTGTGGCAAGGAACAGCTCAGTCAGTGGTGGAACTTTCCACTGCCCCCTTGGCCGAACAAAGAATTAAGGCGAAGTATCCCAACATTTATAGGCTGAGACAAACAACTAACATACACAACTTACACACCACCTTATGTATTTCATGACATCTTTTTGTTACCTCCCCTTGTTGCTTATATCTTTAACAAAATATCCCTATTCATTATTTTATCAAAGCATCTCATCTTGTACTAGATTGGGGTGTATCTGTACTAGCTGGATTATATTTATGTAAATAGTACCTAATACACTAGTAACAACTTTGCCAAGTTCATGTACTTAATAGTGAAATTCTAAGCACCTACTTTAATACATGGCCTGATTTTGGTTCACAGCCTCTGGTTCAGGCCTCAGATCTTGCACCAGGCTCAGTTCTCCAGACTCCCTCTACTACAACTTCAATCTTGCTTTGTACACTTTAGGACACCACAACAAATAACTAAAGATTTACAAAAAAGCTAATATCTGTGGATGACTAATGGGAATAGGAAAGCCAAAAGATAATCCTCCCAATGTTAATAGAACAATGAAAATATTCTTTGTGCATTTTCTGAAATGTACAAATTGTCTGTTCATATGACTGAAGAAGGGCAGTGATTGGTGTCTGTTACAGCTGTCCCCCTGCTGCATTCCTTTTTTCCCCTCTCCTTTCTGTTTGTCCTGTGTGGCCGCCCCTCCCGGCCATTGTGCTAACTAAAGTCACAGCCCTATTCATAGGAATGGCTTGTACAGACTAACTGGAGCCATTGCTCTGCCTAGGGAGGGGGCTTCTTGCTTCTTTGTTTGGTTCCTTTGTTCAGATCCGGGCTCGGTGTGGGGGGCGCTGCCCAGAAATGCAAGACCTGAAGTGGCCAACTAATTAAGCATATGAGTCATACTTGTGGCTCAAAATATGCCCAGGCATGCCTATGCTTACCTGCAGCCTTTCCCTGCCTTCTCTCCTCCCCTGTATCAAGAGGAGCCAATCAAAAGTACTGGTGGGAAACTCCCTGAGTTTGCCTTTAAAGCCGGAAATTTTCTGATCAGACCTCGGAGAAGGTCCTTGCTTTGCCACCTGGTCTGATCAGCTAGGGGTCTTTGGGGGGCCCTCTCCCCGCTCTCGTTTGTTTTTGAGCATACCCCCGTTTTTAAACTCCCCTCCCACGAACAACGAATTTGTGCCTGGAGATCTCCTGATTATTGTAAGCGAATCGAGTCCTCTCTCCATCCTCCGATGCCACTGCCGTTCCTGTCTCTGTGCTTGCTGCTGTCCTGGGGAATGGTAAGAACTCCCTCTTGCAAACTCTCCCTGTCCTAGCTGCTGGCCTTGTTTCCCCAGCAGACAGACTCAAGCTAACTCCTTGGTCTGTATCTGTAATCTGTTTCTGGCTCCGCAGCGCCTTTGCTGCTAGAAATAAGCCTGTGCCGCTGCTAGGCTGTGCTTTCCTGGACTGTATCCTGGGCTGCCGGCTTGCAGCCACCCCACTGCTGCGGCCACCACTAGTTAATCCCCCCTCCCCCCCTGCGGGTTGTACCCCGGGCACACACCACTCTGCCCTCTGGAACTGCTCCCCCTCCCGATCAAAGAAGTGGCAGGGAGTGTAAGGTGCACCTATTAGAATCAGGTTCTTAGTCCAGATAAGTTGTAATTTCATTTTGCATAGCTGTGGTTAAATTAGGTTTAAATAATTGTTTGTATTGTGCTCTGTAAGTTAAGTTTAAAAAATTGTTGCATTGTTTTCTGTTACTTGCTAATTTGTGTAGTCTTGGTTAAGTTAGATCATAGATAAGATTTTGCTGTGTTCTGTATAATTGTGGTTAAGTCTGTCTTTCCGCTACACCCCCCCCCCGAGCTTGCCCGTGTCTCCCCCCAAGCTCCCCAGTCACTCGTTGCAGTCTCTCTGCTGTTTAAACTTGCAGCCTGTCTGCTCTCTGTGTCTCCCTGAGTTTAAATCTCCCTCCGCAGCGCCTCTGCCTTTGGTCTCCGCTCCACCACGTGCTCCTCTTCCCCGATCCCCCAACCTCATTCCTCTACCACTGCCTCTCTCTCTTTTAATCCCTTCCCCCACGTGCTCACCCCGCTCCTACTGCTGCCAAACCTCAATTGTATTACTAAAGTCTAGCATAAACCCCCATTGGTTACCCTTTTCCTTTCTAACACACCTCACATTTTACATTTACACCACTGTGACATATTTTTACCTAGAGTTGTTGGTTATTTAACACATTTTACCCATAACTGTTAGTTGGTTATATGCTGCTGTGACACACCCTTTACCTAGAAACTGTTAGCTACCTGTTACATTTATACTTCAGTGTTAATTGGTTACCAACTGTATTGTACCCCACTATTGAAACCCCCTATCCTATTTACTAAAAGAAACCCTTCCCCAATTGTCTACCTTAACAAACCCCATACCCCTCACTATTGAATTTTCCGTTTTTACATTTTCTTAATAAAGTTTATTTTGCACCCCACCAGTGCAGTAGTTGTCCCCCAAGATCCCTTACCTGCTGGCAGGGTCAATTGGAAGATATTTGAGAGCTGTTTATGAACACAAACAGCCAAGTTCTTCTTCCTCCAAAGAACTACATTAAGAATTTTATCTGTATTGGAATAACATTTAAGAGACAAACTTATGTTTTTATATTGTTGTTCAGCACATATGTTTGATATAAAGTAGTCCTTGAGACAGTTGTAATCATAGTTAATATTTTAGATACATCAAGTCCGACAAGGAGTGAAAGCAGGAAGAACAGGATAAAAAAGACAGGAAGTCAAGTGGAAAGGAACAAGAAGGAAAGAAGATAACAGGAGGGAGGAATTTTCATAGGAGGTAATGCTCAAACTGGGGAAAGAAAAGAGAGGGAAAGAAAGTGACAACAAAACAGGAAACTGGGTAAATAGGGGAAAACGGGAGGTGGAGAGAGAAAAATACAGTGGGTTCATATTCCTTGCCACAGTTACCATGTTCTTTGGATTGTGTTATTGAAAGAATCTTAAAGTTATTTGTGAAATAAATGGAAATAGAAACAAAAAAATGCACATGTGGCTATTACTGTACAGTTTCATTTGATGTAGTTAGTTGAAAGCCATAGTTACTTATGGGGTAAGATCAAGCCTTTATCTTCATTTTCCTATCCCAAAGGAAGAAGAAAAACGAGCAAAAAAAATATGGGTTTTTTATAAGCCACAAACTTAAAAAACATCAGCTTTTATAAAAGCTAAAACTGAAAACTTCATTGTAATACATGCAAGTTGTAAAATTACAGATTTAACTAGAATTTAGCTGTTGTAAGATTACTATATTTAAACCTAACTGGTATAAGAAGAAAATCCTTTATAATCTGTACAAGTTATCTTAGGAGGCTACACCAGAGAAATAAAATGATGGAAGAATTAAGGTTACCATTTAGGTCTGAAGCATTTCATCCATTTCGGTGCCAAAGGTGGCTTTGTAAAACCTTCTGTAGCAGCTGGCACTAAATCCCTTTGCAAATTCAAAGCACTTCCAATTTCTCCAAGACAGATTTCCTTTTTCTTTTCACCCCTTTTTTCTTGCAACTACAGATCAGACAGTAATGTTTTCTGCAAAAGAAAGATGAAATGGTAACTCTGCTGTAGTTTAAACAAGTTTCAAATATGATCTAATAAATTTTCCCTTCCCCTTGCACCCTCCTAATCTTTCATATTCTGCAATGAATACTTGAACTGAGACCTCTACTTAATCTTATTCATTTGGAATTGGCCTCTCTTTCCAAGGTGTAAGGCCTGAACAGATTTTTGGATAGGGCTAAACAACTCTCCCCATACTACACCCTAGTATCAAATGACCACCAAGAATAAGAATAGCACTTGGACAGTTGTTGCTTTATGTTTTTCTAATTTGCTTTAGTTTCCTTTCTGAAGGCTGCTTAATCATGCACAGGCCTTCATTTTATCAGACAAATCAGATCATTGTAACATTTAATTTTTCTGTTACCAAAAAAACAGAAACAAAAAACGTAGAATATGAACACAGTCAGAACACTTAATTTTGAAATATTTTTACAAAGTTTAATTTGTGCTATAAATTGTGAAGACATTTTAAAACATTTTTTGGGGTAATTTATACCACAGAACTAAATTTAGGAAAAATAGTTCTGCAATTGGTATTATCAGGTGTACAGAGTTAGGAAGAGATACAGTATTCATTTAAATTTATATTTTTAAAAAATAGACCACAGATTAACTGAATAAGTTAATTAACCTACTTATTAACAGTTCGTTTGAACTACTGTACTGCTTCCAAATGTGTGTCTATGCATTACTATCTCATTCTCATTTGCCTACACACTATATCAAATGCAGTGTCTAATCAGGAAAGCTGGATCACTCCTTCCCCTGCTACAAACCAAACAGGATTTGAGAAAATATGTTTGTGTTTATGGACTCCCAAGGGTGAAGGTACTTAAAAATGAGTTTCATCAGTCAGACAATTGTTGAATATGCAAGATGCCTTAGGTGGTGTAAAGGGATCATTTTCTCCTCTCAATTCCTTTCTTGATCTCTCCCCAACTCTTCTTTCTAATATGGGAATGCAGTAATTTCCAATTCTGGGTACACAAACGAGTAGTGGTACTTCAGGTGTTGCAGCTGGAACACTAGGTACTCTTTAATTATAAGCTTCTTTTGGGGATCCTAAATGCACTGGTGCTGCCTGTCTTTCGTTTACCTGCACCTGCTATTAACTCAGAGAGGAACATGAAATCCAAGCCCCAGCCTTGCAACAAGACAGCTGACAAGTCAAGGAGAAGGGTAGAGTATTGGTTCTGATCTTTAGCTTGGAGGAGGTAATTAGAGACTTTGGCAAGTGTGGTGTCAGTGTAGCACAGAGTGGAAGCCAGACTGGAGAGGTTCTAGGATGGAATTGGAGGAGAGGAACTCCAGACAGTGCATTCCGTCAGCTTTCGGATGACAGAGGGAAGAGACAGTAGTTGGAGTCAAGTGTGGTCAAGCATAAGTGATTGTTTTTAAGAGGAGAGAGACTAAACCATGCTTATCTTGTGAGGAGAAAAAGCCAAAATAGAATTAAGCAACAAAAACGTTTGGTATTAACATCTGTAGAATCCTACCTTATATCCAGTGAGAGGAAATAATCAGCAGACACAAAATGAAAAGAGACAGGAGGAATTTACAGAAGCTTATACATTTATTTTAATAAATACTGTATACTAAGTCACTTATTTAGCACTTTTAACTGTCAGACTGTTATACAAACATTAACTATTCCTTGTGAAATCTATGTGGAAAATTTAATCACAATTTTACAGATGGAATTATTGAGGTGACAATATTAACTGACTTTTCCAAAGCCACAGGAGAACATGGCCATTGTCAAAACAGGAACTGATATTTAGGTGTTCTTGACATCTAGTCCTGTTCTCAGACGAGAAGGTCACAATGCCTATGTGTGTCAAAGCAGAAGAGATGGAGGCAAAGTTGAAAATAACAGTCTTGCAAACCCTACATGTTAAAAAACAAAACAACAAAAACACGAGGCACAGCCCCACCCCAAAAATCATGAGTTTGATTTAAAATCATGAGATTAAAAAAATGTGTGTGTGTGGGGGGGTCAGATTTGTCTTCTGTCTTTTGACCTTTTAGGGTGCTCTCGGCACATATTTTCAAGCTTCCCTCCACAACCACAAGGTCTAGAAAATTACTTGGTTTTAAATGAAAGCCAAGGTTCTGATGAAGTCCTGTTGTAGTTGAGCAGCCAATGGGACACTGCTAAATGAAAGTAATGGTTACAGAATTGGATAGCGTGCAGAAAATATGAAATGGGAATTGAAACATGAAAATTGAACCCCAAAATTGTGATTTCAGAAGGAAAGTCCAACCTTTCATCCAGATTTTGTGCATCAAAAAACTGCTGTTTAAGGTTGAGCTGCTGAGTATCAAAATATTAAAGGGGAAGTTACAAGAATTTGTCTGTAGAACAGTAACTGTCCCTCTATTACTGGTGATTTCCTATCATTTCTAGTTCCAACTTTCTGTCAGGTCTCCTAGTTATCTAACTGCACCTCATATCCCTTCTAGTCTCTCTGGGCACACCCCTTTGAACATAAGAATGGCAATACTGGGTCAAACCAATGGTTCATCTAGCCCAGTATTCAGCACTTATAGCAACTAAAATCACAGCTTTAACAGTACTGTTAAACAATAATAGAATACCAATTTAAGTTTATTATAAATATTTTGGATGTTTTTCTATTTTTTCAAATATATTTATTTCAATTACAACACAGAATACAAAGTATATAGTGCTCACTTTATATTATTTTTATTACAAATACTTGCACTGTAAAAAAGATACATAAAAGAAATAGTATTTTTCAGTTCACCTCATACAAGTCCACTCAGTCCTACTTCTTATTCAGCCAATCGCTAAGACAAACAAGTTTGTTTACATTTAGGGGAGATAATGCTGCCCGCTTCTCATTTATGAAACCAGAAAGTGAGACCAGACATTCGCATGGCACTGTTGTAGCCGGCGTTGCAAGGTATTTATGTGCCAGATATGCTAAATATTTTTATGCCCCTTCATGCTTCAACTTGTAGGCTCTAAAGTTTTACATTGTTTTATTTTTGAGTGCAGTTATGTAAAAAAAAAAAAATTCTACATTTGTAAGTTGCACTTTCACAATAAAGAGATCGTGCTACAGTAATTTTATGAGGTAAATATAAAAGAACTATTATTTTTCACTTTTTTACAATGCAAATATTTGTAATCAAAAAGAATATAAAATGAGCAATGTACATTTTGTATTCTGTGTTGTGATTAAAATCAATATATTTAAAAATGTAGGAAAACATTCAAAAATAGAATACATTTAAGTTGGTATTTTATTATTGTTTAATCATGCAATTAAAACTGCGATTAATTGACAGCCCTACTCTTTAACTATAACAATCAACTCTGCCAGCTCATTTCTAAAGCTTTCCTTCTTTTCCAGAGGTTTACCTTGTTGGGAGCATTTTGCTGACATCACACATATAACCCTACTCTCTATCATTAACCATACTGCTATTAATTCGTCGTCTCTTCTTTTTGCCCTCATGACACTCTCCGCAACCTCTAGGCTCATGATGATACCTACTTAGGGTTGCCAACTTTCTAATTACACAAAACCGAACACACTTGCCCTGCCCCGCCCCTTTTCTGAGGCCCCGCCCCCACTCACTCCATCCCCCTCCTCTCAGTCGCTCGCTCTTTCCCACCCTCACTCACTTTCACTGGGCTGGAGCAGGGACTGGGATGTGGGCTCCAGGGTGAGGGATTCAGGGTGAAGGAGTGGGGTCCAGGCTGGGCCAAGGAGTTGGGATGTGGGAGGGGGTGTGGACTTGAGCTGGGGGTGTGGGCTCCAGCTGGGGGGGAGGGTTCTGGGGTGCAGGCTCTGGGAGGGAGTTAGGATGTGGGAGGGGGCTCAGATCTGGGGCTGAGGGGTTCAGGTGCGGGAGGGGGTGTGGGCTCCAGCTGGGGGTGTGGGCTCCGGGGTGCGGGCTCTGGGAGGGAGTTCGAGTGTGGGAGGGCGCTCAGATCTGGGGCCGAGGGGTTCGGGTGCGGGAGGGGGTGCGGGCTCTGAGAGGGAGTCTGGGTGTGGGAGGGGTTTCAACCTGGGGCAGGAGGTTGGAGTGTGGGAGGAGGTTCAGGGTGCAGGCTCCAGCCAGGCAGCGCTTACCTCAGGCGGCTCCTGGAAGCAGGTGACACGTCCGGCTCCTAGGCACAGGGGGCTCTGTGCACTGCCCACGCCCGCAGGCTCCCATTGGCCGTGGCTCCCAACCAATGGGAGCTGTGGAGCAGGTGCTTGGGTGCAGTGCGTGGAGCCCTGTGGCTGCCCGTGCCTAGGAACTGGACATACCAGCCCCTTCTGGAGCCACGTGGAGCCAGGGCAGGCAGGGAGCCTGCCTTAGCCCCGCTACTCTGGCAACCAGACTTTTAAGTGGCTTGGTTAGCAGTGCTGACCGTAGTCGCCAGGGTCCCTTTTTGACCAAGCTTTCTGGTCAAAAACTGGATGCCTGGCAACCCTATACCTATCTCCTTTCATTTTTCCTCCAGACCAAAACATTTTAAATTAATCTTTGAAGCTTTACTTGTCCCTCCACAGGTTACCACTCTCCTGTATGTGCTAATGAAAAATAAAAATAAATTGGTTACCACAAAAACTGAATTAGCAAGATTTTTATGGAAAAAAAATTACTGCTTAAATAAACAGTATTTTTTCCTTCCTCCCACTCAACTCTGATAGACACTCAGCCTTTTTTTGAGGAGAAAAGAAGGTCCAACATGGAATGCTACTTTTAAGTACCTGAGAGATAAATCAATACGGCTGATTAAATCATTGATTACTGGGGCTTTTTCCTTCCCTGCTAATTGGCTACAGCTCATCTTTGAAAGCAACAGAGTACTTTAAAAAAATTGAACATTTTAAGGGACCTTAGATACAAATTCCAGTCCATCCAGATGATCTGTCATTTGTGTAAGTACAGGCTGGAGTGATAGAATTTGTTGTGAACTAGTGAACACTGGCCTGGTCTGTGCTAGC